CCGGCTCCTTGGGTGCTTTCCAGCCCCCGACAGGGGTCGTTCTTCCCCTGTGTGTGTGCGTGCGTGTGGCCGTGGCCGGGGGTGGCGGCGTTTTTGGGCCGGCGGCGACCGGGGCCTGGTACCATCGCGCTCGGGGGCGGGCCTGGGGGAGGGGGGGGATCTTTTTCCTAGTGGCCGAAGAGTAACCGCGCCCGCCCGCCCCGCTGCCCGATTTCCCGACCAGAAGACCCAACGCCCGCCGCCGGGTTGAAACGCCCAGCCACAGGCGCGGGCACAGTCCCGTCTGCACGGTCTGGGGACTCGGGGGGGGGGGGGGGAGCAGCTCCCCAGCGCGGCTTCGGGCGGGGGTGTCCTCCCCACTGCGTGCACAGTGTCGAGGGGGCTCGGGGGGAGCCGACGGGACACTCGCACTTTCAGGGCCGGCAGTCTCGATATGGCGGGGCCCCCAGAAGGGGGGGGGCCGGCAAGAGGTCGCAGCATGTGCCCGGCGCTTGCCGGTGCCCCGCCAAGAGGCGTCCCGCGGCCGGCCTTTTCTGAATGGCACAGGAATTCGCCCCCAGGGCCAGGGTGGAATTCCACCACACGCCCCCGGTCTTCAACCCTCCCCTCCGCCGGTGTAGCCCTGACGCCTTCGCCCCCGCTCCGATTCGATGGTCCTTCGGCGGCCTGGGGCGGGCGGGCGGGCGGGCGGGGGGGGGGGGCGCCGGCGGGCACAAAGCTATCGCCCTGTCCCGAGCATGCGCGCTCGAATGGCGCTCAGCCGTTTCCTACCGGCCCCGGAGGCACCCCCTTAGGCCGGCTTCGGTGTAGTTATAACCCCCTCCTGGGGTTTAAGCCCCCTGACTGCGGGGCGAGCCCTGCCCGCCTCCGCCCCATGGCTTCGACAGCGCCGCCGGGCCGCCAGCTACCCTATTTTTACCCCCCCCCCCCCGGGGGAGAGGGGGGGGGGCGCTGCGCCTAAGCCCAGGAGGGGAACAAGGAGGCTGGTCTCCCGGATCCGGTCGGCCGGCACCCCGGGTTCCGCCCCGCCGATGCCCCGCGGGACAGAAGCCGGTCGACGCGTCCGCGCCGCCCCCGCTCTCGAGAACCGCCACTCGTCTCGCTCTCGCCCGGCGGCCCCCCCCCCCCCCCCCCCCACGCACGCACCACCCCCCGCGCGCTCTTCCCTGCCGGGTCTCGGTCTGGCCCCGAAAAAATAAAACACAATACCCGGCCAGGACCGCGGGCCTCGGGAGGCCGCCGGCTCCTATGCGCGATTCACGCGCACGCCGGCCCCGGGAAAGGGACACCCGGCCGCGCCTGTTCGGTGTCAGGTCCGCCAAAAAGGGCCCGGGGCCGCTGGGTGCATGGCGCGGCCCGGCCGGAAACGGGGACGGGGCCGGGCCGTGCGTGTCCCCCGCCGCCGCGCAGAGGGGGGAATGATG